ATTAAGATGAGTAACTCAAGTTCTTATATGACATTCATGGTATATTTATTTTGTCGTTATTTGACGTGAGATTTATCATTTTCATTTGATCAAGTGACAATATGACATGGTCTATTGTTCTAATAATCTAATAGTGCAAAATACGTGTTGTTAGATTAGTAGCAATTTCAACTGCATTTCTTAAAAAGAAATAGCAAATATAATATAAAATGAAAAAGAAAGTCTTTATGGATTTTATTTAGCCAGTGGATAAAAATAATGCACTAAATGGATTTTTCATGTTGCATAAATTTATTCCATTAGCCACGTTAGCATTATTTTTGGTAATTTAGCACAAAGTGACGGACATAGCTTAAAGTACTGAAACAAAATGAAATATTAGAGACTAATTGGAAAAAAAGTAAATTTCGATAGTCAAAATGAAACAGTGATATAAAAAATAAGAAAAATTACTTAAGCTAGGTAATGCTTCAAATTTTTATTTATTTATTTATTTATTTTTTTGTGTAGTGCGCTCAAATAAAAAATAGAACTGTGCTGCACTACCAGGCCTATAAAAGGCCTGACAGTGCAAATGTGAGGTGGAGATGGAGGTGGAAGTGGAAGTGGGTGTTTAAACATTTGGGGGGTTTTTTTTAATGAGGTGGGGGACCCACCTCATGTGGGAGCTTTTGTTCTACCAGGCCTTTTACAGGCGTGGTGGAGCAGGTTAATCCTAAAAAATATATGCTAACTTAAATAACTTGCGTATTTATGCATGTTCGAGGATTTATTTAAAAGTTTAAATTTTAAGATAAAATGTCTTACCCTTAGTCATTAATAAAAATCATAAAAATAAAAGAAATTGAATACACGTGTGATGCATGTTAAAATCTACATTTAAATAAATAAATAGCATCCCTCTAATAACTTAGTACCTGTTTGATTCACATTAATTAGAAAGAAAATGAGTTTTTGACTTGATAGTCCTTGTACACTTTGAGATGCAAATCAAACTTGGCTACTGTAAAAAGAGTATCAAACCCAAGTGTATCGACTCTAAGCAACATCGGTGGTGGTTGTGTATCGTACTTTTGCACTCCAGTAGAATCAAACTGATCGCTAAAAATAGTGTACCGAAAGCACACATGTCACGTATAAGTAATAAAGTGGACAAATGAGTACGAGTTTTCCATCCCACAAGAATGTTTATTCGATTACAAAATAGTTAATTTATTTCTAATAATGAAACACATAATAAAATTTTGATTTTAAAAATAATGAAAATACCTAAAACTTTACAAAAATAAAAAATCTAAAAATCACGGAAAATTGGGAGAGTAAAGTAGTTTAGGCTAATAATTTCACTTGATCGTCATCTAATTAATTTCTCCACACGTAAATTAACAAATTACTCATTAAGTATGTTGAACTCGATTTTCTTATTTTAACTAATTACCTTTCTCAAGTGAAATTAGCCATAATTAATTAATTTAGCTTACTATATCTCTATATCGATTAAAATCCAATCAATTACGTTAACTTTTTGTAAAAATAGCTCAATTAAACACTTTTGTAGATTTCGTGGATTTTTTAGAGATCTGTATGGAATTAGTGGAAGTCTTTT